CAAACATACTACGAGCCCAAAATTTTGGTGTCATTGGATAAAGACCAATTGATGTAAAAAATGATTCAGCTGTTGTATATAATTGATGAATAGAAAATCGTTTTTCAATTAATACTTTTGTTATATTAATAAGTGGAGCATCAGGATAAGGAATAACTTCATCTAAACGATCATGCCATGTTTGAGCCCACATATTTCCTATCAAAATTTTATAATTGAATTATGACACATGAATAATCAAAACAAAAGAATAGAACTTTACCAAGAATATGAGCTGGAATTGGTCCATTACAATCAAAGCGATTTTGATACTTTGAACATAAACGACCTCGAACATATGCATGTAATTGTTCATATAATGGCATGATATCTTTTAATATTTCATCAATAACACCTTCAAATTCGGTAACATTACCCATTTCATAATCTTCTATCCAATGTTCCTGATAAAAAAAATAATAAATGAATAATTATTGTAAAAAACAATTTTTGTAAGACCGATCCAAAACGAATGTTGACCTGTAGAGGTAAAAATTTAGAGCCGTATCTTACAGACAGCGGCAAACATTTTTTGATACATGATCAAAGACCATATATGAATAAAGTCTCGTTATAATAGGTGAACTATTTCCTTATTGCATTTCTAATGAATTAAAAGTAAAAGAATGGTGAAAAAACATGTCACAAAATATATCATCATATAGATTCTAATGACCTATGAAAATTCTGAAAATAGTTCGAACTAATTGCTCATTGCTATCGACATACTGTTTTTTTTAGCAGAATTTCATGGTGTACCCCACAGAAACCTTAAGAAAAAGTAGTTTCAAATTTTGACTTGAAGTTTTGCAAAGAGACAGATCTTAATGACAATAATTTATTATGAGAGTTTTATATCTTTTCATTGCTTCTATCCTAAGACATAACTATGGTAAAAGCTTGTTTACCAAGCGACTCATTTAAAACGGTACAGTCCGATGTTCTTATTGCATAATCGACCAAATGGAAAAATCTAAAACTTTCACAATAAACTATTTCTATCAAGGCTTGCCTCTGTGCAAAGAGTCAAGTCAAAAGTCGAAAATTAGTTTTCTTCAATTAAAGCACATTGAAGATACTCAAGCTTTTCTTTGGTTAAAGACTTCTGGACATTCTATAATCCCGACTCAACAGTGATTTGACACTTAGAAACAGTCCCTCATTAATTGATTTCAAAAGTTTTCTCTGCATACTAGACCGAAAAAGTAGTATATTGACATTTCTGATTTCGGGTAAACGAGTTAATTCGATAAGAAATATGAATATCATACAAGGCTTATTAAAATTGAAAAACTTACAGCTAGATCATGATAACCATTTTCTTTAACATTTTTATTCAATAAATCAATATATGGTAAATAAACTGAACGAACTTTATTTCCACATCCATCATGCCAACCTTTCCATGCCCATAATAAACGATCATAATCTTTTTCAATTTGCATTACTCGTTCAAGATACGGTGAGAGTGTATAACATTTTTTATCATCATTTAATTCACAAACTTTTGTTGTAGCATAAATATCTTCTAATTGACCATGTAATTTTGAACTTTTCTTTACATCATCATTATTATTACTAACTGTTCCTGTTGCTAAACGACCAAATATACGTTTTAAATCATCATTTTTTGAATATTTCATATATTCATTAAATTTTTTAGCTATTGGTAATGTTAAACGACTAAATGGTGATCGAATAAGATTTTCATTTGTTATTGCTTTTTGATTTTCTTCAGTTATATTTGTTTGATAATTCCATGAGAGAAGAGCACTTACCTAAATAAAATAGAATAATAAATTAGTAAAACTATATTTGTTGTCTTCTTACTTGACTATATCGTTGTGCTATTCGAACATACCATTTTAACCATTTTATAGCCATAATTTCATCTGAATAATCATTAATTTCTGGCATATTTTTCATATCTTGTTCATTTAATTTATTCCATAATTCAATATCAACATGATCATTTGGATCAACTTCAGTTTCATAATTTTCTGATTCTTTAAAATTATTATTGTTATTTTCTCTATTATGATTAATTGACGTTTGTTCTTCTAGTTCATTGGTAAATTGTCTGTTTAAAATATCAAGAATTTCTTTGAACTCTCTTTGATTATAATGATTTTGTCTTCGATTTGATATTGAGAATTGAAATGAAGAGATAAATAGAAGAATAATAATAAAATTCTTCATATTTTTGTCAAAATCTAAAAAAAATTATTTTTCAAAAAAATTATTATTTTCGCTTTTTTTCATTGCAATAACGTCTATATCGTTATGAAAAGCATTTGACTCATTGTGTGTCTTTTTTTCATCGTATTCAATGCTATATAACGGAGAGGAAAGAAAACGAAGTAAGTATCAAAATACATTTGGTATATTTCAACCAATGTGCTATTTTTGCCTTTCACCAAACAGTAAATCAACGATTGTATTTTTTTTTTGGTGCCTACTGCTAGTTATTGATGAGCTTCAAGTCAAATTAGTTATACTAAACTTACTTTCCTCTATCGTCTATTTGATATGGATGTATACAATCATTCTTTGTATGCCAACAGTTGTACTCGAATTTTTTTATTCTCGTTCTCGTCTTACTCAATGTGCACAGCAACACATGTTAGGAGAAAAAGAGTCTCTACTACCCTCTTTCGATCGACCTCCGCATTTTTTTTTCTTCTTTTACTTCTGCACTTTTTTCTTTCTGTACATATATATAGAATAAGGATATTATTCACTTGTATCATCGTCTGTCAACATGCTATAGAAAAAAATTGTGCCAAAATTGCAAACTACGATGAATGATCGAAGTTATTTTTTTTTTATCATCGTACTGATTACTATTATTATACAGAAAAAAAAAAAGGTTACGTTTAATGTTTTCGCTGTTGTCTTATTCATGATAATATGTCAGCTACAAAGGACGGTCAGGAAAAACGGAGATGCCAGGAAGAGTAGAGAATGCCGGCAAAAACGGAATATTCTCAGATAAGAAGAGGCTATGAGCGAGACGCAGTCGAACAATCCAATATTTATTATCACTTTTCTATGGTTTTTATCCCATTTCCATTTGATACTAATCGACTAGAGTTGATGTTGAGTAAACCAATGTAATTGATTGTGCAGATGCTAATTATGACAAAATTCATTGCACTATGAAGATGCGACATGGGCCATTAATGAATCATTCGTCTTGGATGACAGAAAATTTATATTTATTATGAGTTTGATTGTTTTTTCAGTTATCCTGTTATATTATCTGTATACAACTGGAAACCTACTTATAATGAATTTTTTTTCGAAAATTGAGTCATTTTTGGGAATTATATAAAGGGTGTCTCTGAAGGTTTGGGTCTCAACGAAAATTAGTTTATATATAAACAATGAGGGATTCCCACCCAACTAGATTAATATGAGCGTTGAATACTTAGGCCGATGTTTTCAATGATACATTATCGAATGACATTATCTTTTTTTATCAATAGTGATATGGACAGCAGCGACATGATAATTAGGGTGCGAGCACAAAGAATAGCTACATCAACGGTCTAGATATTATGCATCACTTTGAGTTGTTGATGTACACATTCAAAAAAAATGAACTTATGAATTATAGAAATTTTGAATAAATTAATTAGTTTGTGTGACAACGTAATGGACTCTATCCTTTGTTGATAAATTTGCCACGGACACATCTTAATCGCTTTTAATCTACACCATCTAAGTCATTGTCAAAAATCGATCTTCAGCCAAGTACATTGAAATCGCATGAAGTTTTCAGAATATGTTCGGTCCATATTGGCGAGAATACAATAAAATTTTCAGCCCTATATCACGATGTCTTCAGAAGATATTCAACAAACAAGAATCGAAAAACTGTGCATTTGACAAGTGGAAATTGCCTGTGGGCCTTCATTCTATATATTTAATTCTATTTTGTTTGAATGAAAATGTCAGAAATGAAGCATATGGATTCCAAAATTTTCAAACATAGCCCAACCATACTTTGATATTCTCAATGAAATTTTCCTAATTCCAATTGAGCATTCACCTAGAAGATTCATACTCTGATACAAAGTCAAAACTACATCAAATTATTTCGTATTGTTTCTACGGTATTGGTTTTCATACGCCAGCTTATTCTCAAATAGGGTGTGCATGTGATTGTGAATAGAAACGAACCCACAACCACATCTACAACAACAATCATGTGCATTGAAAAATCTATTGCCAGACTGTGCAATTTTTTTCGAATAACTAAGTTTTACAAAAGAAAATACGTTTACTATTCATTATTCTTCGTAATATATTCAAATATTTTTGTTGTTAGTATGTTTACGAAAAAAGAACACAACGAAAAATAAGCAAAGAGCACGATAAAAAAATAATTTTTGCATAAAAGTGTAATTTTTCCAGTGGCAAAATATACCTTTTAATTGAATGACATACGTCAATAGAATATCTATTTTTTTCGGTGAAGAAAAAAAAAACAGGTCAATATATATAAACACGCAATTTCAAATTATCATACATTACATATTATGTCTCTCTTAAGGATGAGTAATAACAATAAAGAAGTCGATTTCAATTTCGACGATGGTAAGTCTACTAAAATTCGTTAAATATTTTGAATAATTCAATATGATACAGAGATATCTGAAAGTGAAAACAAAATGTAACTAGAATGTATTATTTGTTGATAAAAAATGAAACTGCTTCGAAACGGAAATTCGTTTGTATTCATTCATTTGAAATAATAAAAAAAAGCAAGAATTAAAATGAAATTAAAATTGAATTTTTCAATTTAACTATTAAAGAATTTTCAAGTTGAATGACAAAGACAATAAAAGCAAAACGATGTTTGCGTATTAATAAAAATAAACTTCGATAATTCATAGGAGAATTCTACATCTGTTTTAGCACATAAAACTTATTCAATTTTATTTTTTGATAAAATATTTTTATTTCGTGTTTTATTTTCTTATATCTATAGAAAGTAATCCAGGATTGTTAACACCATTATTAGAAAATACGGATGATTGTACAAAGCAGGATTTAACAACAGAAATATATGGTCAGTATCATTGACAATTATTTTTCAAGGTATTTATAGATTGTTTATTTCTACAGAAAATGCAGTAGATTTGGACAAAATATTTGAGGAATTATTTTCTGAACCACATGATTCTTACACTAACCAAACAACTAATGAATTTAATAACATCGAAAAATTTGCTGATTCTACAGTTGATCCATCAGTTAGCAAGAAACAATGTTCAGCAATATCATTAAATAATCCAGTTCAAAGTACGCTTTTGTCATGTTTTTTAATTATTTTATCAGTGCTTTCTGAATTCATTTCCGTTCCCATTAAAGAGAACTCTTCCTGCTTTATAAATATCGATGAGAATACAGTTTGAACAGCATAAAAACAGTAAAACTAATACTTAAAATGGTTCTTTTTTTATTCTGTTA